GGGGTGCAACTAAGTACAGGGCAAGGACATTCGTCCCAATTGGCCCAGAGATGGATACTGTCAGGAAATGTAAGTACATATTTGGAAACAAACAGGAAGATGTACAATTATCTAATATCTCTCCCTCTGCTAATAACAACAATCCACAAAATCCTGGTGTAGGACACCAAGTAGGGAAATCCGAAGCAATGAATTGCTCGCTGCTTATGGACGCATCAAGTAATGTTTCAGCGCCTTATGACCTATCATTGATAGATGTGGACATTTCAAATTATCCGTCTAAGGTACCTGCAGCCAATTCTGGGACAAGGTGACAATGACGTTGGATTTTCATTCATGTGTCAATTTTTCTTTTTTTCTTTAGTTTTTGTTGGGAATTAGATGTGCACTAGCGTCTAACGTGATCCAGATTGTGTTGCTATGGAGCTCAGAGTTGTAACTTAGTTTGTAAATGTAGGCAAAGCTAGTTTTCAGCCATTTCTTTTTGATTGTTTGATCCTATTTCCATATTTTGTGTAATTAGAGAAAACCTCTATTATGTTTGTCACCCCCTCTTTTTAACCTTAACCCCTTTAAAAGAAGATACGGTAATTTTTAAAAGCTCAAAAGGGTTTTCAATTTTAATGTGAAAAAGATTGTATTTCGAAAGAATTCCCAGAGTCGCCACTTGACATAGAAATTTGATGTACCAAGTCACCGTTTGAAAATAATTTTTCTTTCAAAATACATTTGACTCCAAAACTGATTTGCACCAAAAACTTTGACTCGCGAGAAAGTATTAGGCATTCTCGAAGTCTTGTGAAAGTCATAGTTGCATACATGATTTAGTTGGCTTTTAAGAATACTCAAATTAAGGTAAAACACACACAAAAAGAACATAAACATAAAACAGGTTCGAGGTTGTCCCTACCTAAATAAAGGAAAATAAAAAGAAAAGAAAATTAAAGTCCTAAACTATGCTTCCTGAACGTTCCCGTCTTCATTTACACGTACTTCGGCATTTTCGGGATAATAATATTTACAAGCTTCTCGGGGCATTTCCCGAATAAAACAATAAACTAAGGGACAACCTCTAACCTCAAAAGAAATATAAAATCCTAAAGTTTGCCTACCCAAGTATTATCGATCCTAGCTTGCTCCTATCGGTTCTAAGCAAATAAAATATAACAATAAAATAAAGTGGTAAAATATTTAAACTTCAATTTCTCCTAGTTTTGGTTAAGACTTGTATCACGCAGCACAATCATAACTCAACTAATGGCCATTCCAGTTTTTACCAGTATGTATGACGAGCCATATTTAATTAGAATTTTTACCTCATATAGCAAAGGTTAACACCTTATTTATTTTAAATAAATACCATTTAAAAAGAATTATATTCTATAGATACCTTTTAAGGTTTATAGCAAAATATTTAATTTTGGTTACCTCCTAGTCTTAAGCTACTAAATACGCTATTCAGTTATACTATTTTCTTTCTCTCTCTACTTTGATACATCCCATTCTCTTCCCCCATCCCATTAAAATTTCCGCTCTCCTCCTCCTTCTAACGGCAGCTTCTCAACTGAAAAATCCAGCAACCAGCAGCACAACAACAACAAACCCTAACCTGAAGACCCAATCATGCCGAAGCAAATCCACGAAATCGTTGGTGATTATCTCGCTGTATTCCGTCGCTGAAGACCCAATCTCACCAACTTTACAATGCTTGACTTCATCACACATTTATCTTTCATTGATGCCTGGATTTCATTCCATGCAGTTAACTAGACAAGAAACCAATTAAGTTTCGATTTAATATTCTGTAAGTTCCGGTTCAACTAGCGTTCTGCAAGATCTTTGAAGATGGAAGGACTATTTGGCTACAAGGCGGAAATTAGGGTTTGTTCTTGAGCAAAGACGACGGAGTTTTGGAGCTGAGCAACTTGATTTTCTGTTAATATATTTCAATGTATTTTCAACGTATCACACTGTATTTTCATGTATTTCATTGTATTCATTGTCTTTTTTTCCATTATAATTCAATGTATCTCGCTGTATTCCGTGTATTTCATTGTATTCATTATCTTTTTATTTTTTATTTTTCAATGTATCCCGTTGTATTCTATGTATTTTATTGTATTCACTATCTCGCTATATGCCATGAATGTATTCATATGTTTTTTTAATTAATATAATTTACGTATTCAAATGTATTATATAATTTCTCTGAAGATTGCTATATTTTTGGGGTATTTTTCAGTTGAGAATCTTTTTTATAACCGGAAATACAAATTTTGTGTGTTATAATTGAGTTTGTTGAGTTATATTAGAAGTCTATTATGTTAATTGATACACTTTCCGTTTAAAAACAGTGTAATCCCCTGTTTCACACCGTGAATACAGTCGAATACAGTAATCTGTTCAGCTGTAATCCCATGTTTGACGCGATGAATACAGTCGAATACACTCGAATACAACAACTGATTAGTTGAACTTCCCTGATTCACGCCTATTTTTGCTAATGTATTCATGAATACAATAGCTTAAATGCATCAAATACATCTTATAACCACAGAAAATGTATCTATAATCCGTAATATAGCAAATGGTATCTATAGATGACTAATTACTACTAAAAGATAGTGCTTTATGAAAATTTCCCCTTAAATTTAACTTAATCCAATAACTTCTCGGTCTATTTAATTAATATGGCCCAAGACCCCACATCATTCTTATATGAAATTTTTACCTCCTATAGCAAAGGTCACCTTATTTATTTTAATTAAATATCATTTAAAAAAATTATATTCTATAGATATTTTTTAAGGTTTATAGCAAAATATTTACTTTTGGTTATCTCCTAGCCCTAAGTCACTAAATACGCTAATCAGTTATACTATTTTCTTTCTCTCTCTACTTTGATACATCCCATTCTCTTCCCCCATCCCATTAAAATTTCCGATATCCTCCTCCTTCCACCGGATTTGTGCAAAGCCCACTTCAGAAATTGCTCCGGCTCCCCGCATCTGGTTAAGAGAAACCCAGTTCAGAAACCTCTTTGTCTAAAGTTTCTGATCCTAAAATTTCTCTTCTTTAAGCTTTGATTTTGATAGTCACAACATATGGGGCTTATCCTGCTATTCACCGCAAGTTCCCTAAGATTTTATTGCAATTTGGTGGTTTTAGAAATTTGAAGCCTGTGGTGTGATTGGCCTTTGAGAATTTTGGTGGGTTACATCTTTGGTTTTGGTTGGATTCATGAATCAAGACAAGAATAATAGGTTTCGACTTTTTCTATGTTTTGGATTCTTCTAGGACCTTCGTCTGTGGTGGTAGTTTCAGCAAATACAGCGATGTCCTTATCAAAGTCAAACAGAGTGTACAGAATCTTCAAATACAGCGAGATACATTCAAATTACTTATGGAATCATGGTCGGAATCCGATGGGTCGTCGGAAAATTATCGACTAAAATAGGTCGTCTAAAATTTGGGGTTGAGCAATTTGAAGATTTGTTACCTTTTTTAAGAGCATTTCAATGTATCTCGCTGTATTTCTATGTATTTCATTGTATTCACTATCTTTTTTTCATTGTAATTCAATGTATCTCGTTGTATTCCATGTATTTCATTGTATTCAGTGTCTTTTTTTCTCATTGTATTTCAATGTATCCCTCTGTATTCTATCTATTTCATTGTATTTTGCGGTTGAGAATCTTTTTTATAACTGAAAAATACAAAATTTATGTGTTATAATTGAGTTTGTTGAGTTATATTAGGAGTCTATTATGTTAATTGATTCACTTTCCGTTTTAAAAATAGTGTAATCCCCTATTTCACGCCGTGAATACAGTCGAATACAATAATCTGTCCAACTGTAATCCCATGTTTCACTCCATGAATACAGCCGAATACACTCAAATACAACAACTGATTAGCTGAACTTCCCTGATTCACGCCTATTTTTGCTACTGTATTCATGAATACAATAACTTAAATGTATCAAATACATCTTATAACCACAGAAAAGGTATCTATATTCCGTAATATAGCAAATTGTATTTATAGATGGCTAATGTAAGCATGTGATTTTTGCCCTATATGAGAATTACTCCCAAAAAATTCAAAAAATAAAACAATTTTTTGATTGTTTGCAATTGTTGTGAATTTTGTGTTATTTTTCTTGTATTGTTTGCATTTGTCTGTGCATGTTTATTTGCTAAATTAATAATAATAAAAAAATACAAAAATATGTCGCATTTGCATTTAGGATTTAGGTTTGCAATTATGAGTAATTAAGTTTGTTTTACAAGAATGAAAATTACAGAAATAAACATCTTTTGCATTTTTAGCATTTAATGTCCAAATTGTGTGATTTTATTTTATTGATGATTAATTTTGGGTGATAATTACTATTAGAAGTTAATTAGTATTTTAAGATAATTTTCGTTTTTATAATTTAATTTCATACATTTTAGTTTTATCAAAAAGTAAAAGAAAAAAGAACAAAAAATAGACGAAAATCGGATTGGGCCTCTTCTTCAATTTTAAACCACAGGCCCAAAGATACCCAACCTTCCCCTACGACCCGGTCCATTTCGACCCGGGTCGACCCAGTCCATAACCCCAAAGACCCAACACCCCTATCTCCCTATCTTTCATTTTTCACAAAACAAAACCCTAAAAACAAAACCATCCGCCCCCCTTTGCTGCACCATCTTCCCCAAACACCCCCTCCACCTTCAACCCTCCCATGGCTGCCCTCGCTACTTCCCTTCCACCTCATGACCAGCTGCTCCACCAAGCAAGCATCCATGAACGTCGACCACCCTCCAGTCCACAAGCCTCCTCCTCACGACCAGTGCTGCCGCTGCTTCGTCTTCATTCTCCGTCGTGAAACTAACCACCATGAACGACGTCGACCACTGCTGCTGCTTCATCTTCTTCATCATCTCCCTGTCGTCAACCTCCAAACGACCAACCAGTGACCCCCATCGTTCTGCTTCTAACTCCAGTCAACTAGCGCGTCAAGGTTCCGTTCGAATCCGGGCTTCAAACTAGTAGGTTTCCATTATCTTGTCTCTTAGTTTTCATTCAGTGAATTCATCTTCCGTTCCTTTTCTTCTTGTGTTTGTGTGCCAATGGTTTGGTTTGAATTCGAACCTAGACCTTTGTTTGTATTAGAGATAATTTGTGTTCATTTTTTGTTTGAAGTTTGTTAGTTGTTCGTCAAGTGATTTAATGTCGAGTGTTCATTTTAGTTTGAATCATTTCATCCTTGTTATAATGTTGTTAGATTTAATTTGAAGTTTAATTGATTTTTGAGTTTAGTGATTTGAATTTACTTGTTTGTTATGATCAATTTGTTGTTGTTGTTGAATCTGAAAGTAGGTTTGTTGTTAAAAAATATTGTTCAGTCAAAATAATTCCAGTTGTTTCTTTGTTGTTCATCATTTAGTTTGAATTTGTTGTTTGAATTTGTTTAGGAATTGGTTATAGCTGTTGTATTTTGGTTAGAATTGATTAGG